TTTTCACCCTACACATGTGCAGATCAGTATTCACCAACACACTCAAGAGGATTTATACACCAGATGCGGTAGCTCACACCTGTAATCCCAGTATTTTGGGAGGCCGAGGCAGGACTGCTGAAGCTCAGGAATTTGAGGCCAGCCTGGGCAACAGAGCCAGACCCCTTCTCTACAAAAAAAATTTAAAATTAGCCAGGTGTGGTGGTGCACACCTGTAGTCCCACCTACTTGGGAGGCTGAGGTAGAAGGATTGCTTGAGCCCAGGAGGTCAAGGTTGCAATGAGCTGAGACTGAGCCACTGTATTCCAGTCTAGGTAACAGAGCAAGCTCCTGTCTCAAAAAAGGCGGGAGTGGAATTCATAAAGTACTTCCAGGCAGAAAGCTGAAGCAATCATAGGGCTTACCATTTCTGCATTGACTTTTTTTTGAGAAGTCCTGCTCTTGTCACCCAGGCTGGAGTGCAGTGGCACTATCTCGACTCACTGCAACCTCCACCTCCCAGGTTCAAGCGATTCTCCTGCCTCAGTCTCCCAAGTAGCTGGGATTACAGGTGCCTGCCACCACACATGGCTAATTTTTGTATTTTTAGTAGAGACAGGGTTTTGTCATGTTTGCCAGGCTGGTCTCCAACTCCTGACCTCATGATCTGCCCACCTCAGCCTGTAATCCCTCCTGGGATTACAGGCGTGAGCCACCGCACCTGGCCTACCACTTCTGTCTTTTATCTCTCATTGATCACAGTCCTGCATTATGTATTGTTCAGAGTCTGATTACAACTGTTTCATGTATGTTTTCCAGTTTTATAGCTGTTTATAGTAAGAGGACAAGTCCTTCAGCAGTAACTCCTAAAAGTTTCAGAAGTGGAAGTCTAGTTTTCGTTTTAAATGTTAGCTCTGAGTTTCTTCTGCTCTTGTCAGAACAGTCTCTAGTTCTTAGCATTGCAGTTTGATGGCCCACGTTGAAATTAATAGATGCACAAAAGTGAGCCATATGTACAAGCTGTAAGCTGGCCATGCAAATTTCAACTACAAGTCTGCCACAGATAGAAATCTTTCAATATTTGGAGAAATTTTTCCTGGAGTGAGAGGGAACACTTGTACAACATTCTTCTTTGTGTTTCATTTTCTATTTCTTTTCTCCCCACAAATCCCACTAGGGACAAGCTGCCAATACTCCTCTTTCTAGACAGTCCACCTAGCTACTCACTCTACCCCTAATGCAATGCTTCCCAAAGTGTGGCTGTGGACCACAGCATTAGAACCAGCACTTACTTAAAACCTAGTGTCTAGCACATCATACAACATGGATGAAGCTTGAAGACATTATTCTAACAAGCCAGTCCCTGAAGAACAAATACTATATAATTCCATTTATATGAGGTACCTAGAATAGTCAAACTCATAGACACAGAAAGTAGACTGGTGATTTCCAAGAGCCGGGGAAAGGAGGAAATAAAGGGGACTTTTTTTGAGACGAAGTCTTGCTCTATGGCCCAGGCTGGAGTGCAGTGGCACGATCTCAGCTCACTGCAACCTCCACCTCCCAGGTTCAAGTGATTCTCATGCCTCAGCCTCCCAAGTACCTGGGATTACAGGCATGTGCCACCATGCCCAGCTAACTCTTGTATCTTTGGTAGAGACAGGGGTTTCACCATGTTGGCCAGGCTGATCTTGAACTCCTGACCTTGGGTGATCTGCCCACCTCAAACTCCCAAAGTCCTGGGATTACAGATGTGAGCCACCATGCACAGTGAGACTTGTTAAATGAGTACAGAGCTTGAGGTCTGCAAGATGAAAAAAGTTCTGGAGATGGATGGTGGTGATAGTTGCACAACAATGTGAATGTACTTAATGTCTCTAAACTATACACTGAAAACTTGAGAAAATGGTAAATTTTTTATATAATTTACAATTAAAAATTTTTAATAGTATTTCTTTTTTGTTTTTTGAGACAGAGTCTCTGTCGCCCTGGCTGGAGTACAATGGCGTGATCTCAGCTCACTGTAACCTCTGCATCCAGGGTTCAAAAATTCTCCTGCCTCAGCCTCCCGAGAAGCTGGCATTACAGGCATGTGCCACCACATCCAGCTAATTTTTAGTAGAAACAGGTTTTCACCATGTTAGCCAGGCTGGTCTCGAATTCCTGGCTTC